CCAAACTTCAGGAACATAAAAGGTTTAGAAATCTTAACCGAGGCCTGGATCCAAGTTTTCCCATTCTTTTATAGTGGGCTGAATAAAAACAGAAATACAAATTTTGGAGCGTTCAAAATCCACACTCAGTTTTTGCAGCTTGACACTTTCTTTAGCCATGGGAGGTGGGTGGGGAAGAAATGTATGACCTCTCCTACAGGCAGGATTGGCTAATAAAATAAAATAAAATAAAATACTTCAACTGTTTCTCCAATGGTGACATTGTGTTATAGAACCAAAGTGCTAACCGGACTGTCCAATTTAAAAACAAAACCAGTCACTGTTTTTAAATGTATCAGGTATTTTGTACATAGCATAACATGAAATAGAGCATGTGAACACTTTGTAGTATTCTTTGCCATAACTTTTCAGTGCAAAATATCAGGCTTATGGGGCCCAGTAATATCTATTTCAGAGCCTGCTGTATCTCCCCAAGTATTTATTCACTTGCAACCTGCTTGACTAGCACAGGTATCATAATCCTACAAATTGTACCTGTTTTGACATGAACTTTTGCCAATGTTAATTTGAAAATGAACCAAAGTAAATAAACTGCTCAGAGACAAACCAGAAGTGGCAAAGGGAGACAAGTTGTGTGACCTCATGTCTTTGGAAGGAAGTGTAGACCATTTGGAAAAAGTGGTTTTTATTTTGCTCCATCAGCGATTGTCAGTTGGCATTCATGTCATAACCAATGCACCTGTTAGCTACCTATCTCTCAAAACTATGGATGGGAAAACTGATTTGAATATAACAACAGAGATCATAATTTTCATCAAAAATTAAGCTTAACATCTCCTGAAGATCTAAAAATTTTGGTTAACTTCTTACCGCACTGGTTTACTATATTCTGGTCAGTTCCAGGAGCAGAAGTGCTTTCATGAGACAGGACGTTCTCCTGAGATTTCAACTACAAATAGGCAGACTAAAGAGATCTGAATAGGACTCAGATAAGCACTCAAATTTGGGGTGACCTTTTGAGGTTCAACCATGGGAAATCTAAACCACTGTCCCACTCAGCAATGCAAAAAGCTGGTTCTATAGACTTAAACTTCAATAGCATTTATCAATCAAGTACATACAATTCTGACAGAGCAACATGCTGTTGCACTACTGTGTATGCATTATAAGTCTAACTACTATCTCCAGATTTGTTTCTTTATAATGTGTGTGTAACACTGACAGACCCCGGTCATCAGCAGGCAGGATTAAACCTGGGACCTTTGAAACTTAGTGCATGAGCCTCTACTGCATGAGCTAAAAGCCACATGCTCCTTAGCTAAGGCTGTAGCAGACTCATTAATCTCTAAGTGGTCTTGGTGCTACCAGAGGGGACAGAACACCACATCCAGGAGGTGTGTGGGTCACAAGTGCACTAAGTACTTTTATAGGACATATAAATCAAGCATTCTGTACACAATAGTACAGCCAGGTCATCTGTGCAAATTATTCTATTAGTAACATTGAATGTCATTTACCAAAAGGACACATTTCTTCCTCCTTATCATCATTAAAGGGGCAAAATGGATCACTTTAGGGCTGACATAGGAGATTCCAAATGTTCACAAATGTTCTGATTACTTTATGACGTTTTAATTCCTGTATATGTTTGATTTCTAAATAATAGTGCATAATTATTGTTGCCATGTGGCCTGTTGCAAAAAAGAAATAATCCAATTATTTATGTTTAATAATATAGTTAAATGGTTAGTATACCAAACCTTTATTAACCATAAAAAATGTTCTGTATGAATAATATTGTATTGATGGACTCATTAGGATTGGAATCTGCCTTTGAGACAACACAACTCAGCCTCTGCCACTTTAAATCCTCCACAGCAGCTTGCTAAGTCCTTTCCCTCTGTTTAGATAAATCTGTTCTGTTCTTCCCAGAGATATTGAGCTTCAGCCAAATCTTACCCACACTCCTCTTCAATAGCTGCTACCATTTTGACTAACTGAGCAGCAAATGTCTCAATGAATCTTACACAGCTTGCACACAACATTTATAAAAGGTTCCAGAATAATGACTGTGTATGCAAGCTCAATCAAATGGAATTGTAGAAGGGTCCAGACATATTGCACCAGAGATTCACCACACCTCTTCTTGGTAAAATGTATATGTAACTATTTGATGCCTTGTTCTGTGCTCATTAAGGTCAATAGTGAAACTGCCATGGAGTTTGATGGGAGCTGGACTGGGCTCTTGGTGCTCCTTTTCTGGCAATTGATTACTGTGACAAAGTGGGAATGTTCATAATGTTTTCACTGAATACTGTGTGGGTGCCTCAGTTTCCCCTATGCATTTCTTAAGTATCTAGGTGGTGGGATAAGGGTGTGTGATTGTTGCAGAGCCCGAGAGGGCCAGTGTGATGGTGTCTGCACAGAGAATGGCCAACACCCACCTACAAGCTCTGTTTTGGACTGTGTTCTTGTCGTCTAACAAACCTTCTGTTTTACTGGCTGGCTGAGAGGCATGGTGAATCGCAGGAAGTGGGGGGTGCAGGGCCCTGACTCCCCCACACTCTGTGACAATTACACAATAACTCTGTTAGCTGGTCTGTAAAGTACCTAGCACACTGATGGTACTATGCAAACAATAAATACACAGTCACTCATATTTATAAAAGAAGGTATTCTAAAATGATTACATTTAACACCAGAGTCAAAAATCCATCAGAAACACTGGGCATTCTTATGCCATTCCTTTGTGGCAATATTATGAAGGGAAATCTTCACACACACACACACACACACACAACCTCTATAGCCACAGAAGTACCTAATCACAGTGGAACCAATGGAATTTTGCTTTTGCAACGGTGAGAAACCAGCACCTCCCTGTGGCTCCTCACATCATTCGTACCCTATGCCCTTTGCATGCCATGGAGCTGTGTTCTTTGAAGCTTAGCTATGCCCAGTACTCAGGGGGGTGAAGGTGAGCTGAGGAGGGAATAGAGGGGTTGGAGAATTTGCCACTATGCAAATCCACTAGTCATTCCCTATGAGCAGGTAGAGAGCAGGAGCTTCAACAGCTACCACAAGCACTGCAGATACACCAACAGGCTAAGAGGGGTTCCCTGACTTGAAGGGAAGGATTCCTCCTCTTCCTGACTCCTACCAGGCAATGAGCCCTAGTGGACAGAGCACTGGACTGGGACTTGGCAGAACTGGATTCTATTCCTGGCTCTGCCACTGACCTGTTGGGTGACTGTAGGCAAGTCACTTCCTCCCTCTGATTCCCAATCTGTAAAATGCGGGTGACAATACTGACTTCCTTTGCAAAGCACTTTGAGATCTGCTGATGAAAAGTGCTCTATATATTAATGTTACTACTACAACTACGGCTGTCTCCAGAACAAAGCCTACTTACTGGAACTGAATGTTGGATCAAGGATTTACTCTAAAAGCCTATTGTTCCAGGATTAGTGATATATTCAGTAATATGTAATACCTACTCCACTTCATTACACTTATTAGTTTACTAGTGTGTATGTACAATACAAAATGTGCTTTCTTATCTACTTTGAGGAGGAAGGAGGACAATTAAAACAGACATATGATAGACAAAGTTAAATGGATGTTTCTTTTATTTCAGCTATTTATTTGCAATTCTGTCTTGATTATAAGCTTATGTTACATAAAAATCAGAATAATTTCTAAGAAACATACTTCTGTAATGCTTCCCAGAAGACATTCTTATTTCACTTCCCTGCTGAAAAATTCTGTAACTATGAACAGAATTGGTTTTTTTTTCAAGATATAAACCATCTTTAATTAGTATGAGTAAAATGAAGCTCATTCCCCAGGCCTTTTGAAAAAAAGAGAAAATATATTTTCTTTCTTTGACTGTGAATATGAATATTTTAGGACTCACAGAACATCAATTTTGTGGTGTAATCTACCTGAGTCCATTGAAAAAAGCATATGCAGATTGTGGATGCCCCCTGCATGGACACACAATGGAGGAGATAGGCACAAGGAACCTGTCTTTCTGTGCCCCACTGAGCTTACACAATTGCAGTGAGGTCACAGGGACCATTGACCGCTCTTGGCCCCTGGGAACAACACCACCTGGGTATTCCCCCCACAGATAGACACCTCAGTTGGTCAATTCAGCCAAATATACAGCCTCTTTGATCCACCAGGGCCATATTGAAGCCACAGATCTGCCCTGATATCTCTGGGCACTCTGGCACCTTCCATGAATACTAAATAAATTAGTGGCAGTTGTCTAAAGGAAGAGGGTGCAGAGATTCCAAGGAGAAAAATGGTAAGCCCCAAAATCCAGATTTGTTGGAAATGTAATGCCCCATTGAAACCAGGTATATAGTAAGTGACTCCCACACTTAGAGAAGCCTGAGGAAGAAAAACAAGCAGTTATGTAATTGATATTCAATGTTAATGTCTTTCAGCAGAAAAACAATCTGGGCAGGCATTCTTTCCACATTTTAATTCTGCAGAAGTGAAATGATCTAACATTGAATATTCAAAGTCTCCAGAGCATCTGCTCATTAAAGATTGGACTCTGTGAATATTTGAGTTTATCTTAAGTTTAATTTGGCTATGGTAATGTTATTCCCTCTTTCCTGTGATCTTTTAATAAAGAGGCCAATTCATGGATTTCTCAAGGATACGTTCCTGGTTGTGTAAGTTTAAAAATACATGTAAAAATGATGGCCTAAAATATGAATAAAAGGGTCTACTTAACTACTATAAGTAATAGATATTTTTTGTTTACGTCAGTTCTTTCATTCAATTTTCATTCTGACCTATATATGTTAAATCCAAATGATCTGGATTTAAGGAAAGACAGATACTGTGGCAATACTAGTTATACAAGGATTTAAATTTTGTTTGTTTGTTTAAGCTTTGTATCCAAAATCTGTTCCTGGGTCTGCTACAACTTTGAAATGTCTCACCACACTTTCAGTGACCATCAGTTACTGAAAAATACTTACCTTGCTGTCTCTCTCCATTCAGCGTCCTCTCCTTCACGGCAGCAAATTTCATCAAGTTCAGTAAAGAGGTCATGAGGAATGTGTTCCTCATCATCATCCTCTGTTCCAAGAATAAACTGTACCCTTTGTGATGGGGTGTCTGGGGAGGAAACATAAATATCATAAAAAAACAGCCAACAGAAACTGTGATTGGACCGAATTACTAACGTGCATTTTTTCAGCAAGGATTAAATGCAAAATGATTTTACATTAGTGGGAACCGTCATTTGTATGCCTTCAGTAAGCAAATGACTGAAATTTCATGCGATTATTCAGCTGTCTGTTATCCAAATAATTAACCTTCACAAACAAGTATTGTAATACATAAAATAATCACACATCTTGTCAGTTCAGTCATGCTTTAACTCATGCTCTATGAACTGGAGAGCACACAGCACTTTACTATTAAGACCTGTTTATTCAGTCTAAATTACCTAAATTAAATAAATATATCCAAAACAGACAAACACATTTTTCACAATGTGAAGTATACAGATACTTACAAATGTGGTTTAATGATGTCTCACCCAGCTTAACAGGGTAAAATAAAGCACAGGTACCGCTAAGTGTCAGACAAGCTAACTACTGTGGCCTGATTTTTAATGTACAAATTTAACTCAGTTCACAAATTTGGGGTACTACATTTGCATTCATTTTTTCCATTAAACTTATATTGATAGGTCCCAAAAGAAAATACCCTCCATGAATTTCAAATCTCTCATTATTCACTGCCATAAATTGTCCTTCTGAACCTGCCTAAATAATTAGAAACAATATATAGAGAGAGAGAGAGACAGACAGACAGACTGGCTAGAATAGTAAGAATAATTGGTGCCATTCCATCAGTTCTTTTTTCTATCTATTCTTGACTTCCCCATTTCTTATCCTCTCTTCCTGCTCTCCTCCCTTTACACCATCTTTTCCCTTCTTTCTTTTCCCCTCTGATCCTCTCCTCACTGCCCAATCAGCAGCTACATTGTCTCAGAGACAGACTGCTCTTCCCTTATGACTAGTGCTTTGAAATATGAGAGAAAACTCAGGCAGTCATAGTGCACTTGACTTAAGTCATAGTGCACTTGTTTGCATACTACAGTTGTATTGGTTCAAATGCTGTAACAATCTTAAAACCAATTTTTAATAAAATCCAAATCTCAAATCATACAACTGTGGATGACATCCAATATCTCCAGAAATGTATAGTTACTGTTTCTGCCAATGTACTTCGCAGCTGAAAGAACAACCAAGAATCCTTTGTGAGTGCCTGCCTGTAGGAGCCATGCTGCTAGTCAACTGAGAAATGGAGTAGCAGACATGCTGCTGCATAGGTGCTGGAACTAGGGATGCTGGTGTTGCTGCCACACCCCCTGGCTTGAAGTGGTTTCCATTATATGCAGGGTTTGCAGTGGGGTTCAATGGCTCTCAGCACCCCCACTATACAAATTGTTCCAGCACCCCTTCCTTGCTGTGCCGGGGTACAGTCTGACTGAAATGTTACTTTACCACTTTATTCTGGGGTTAAGCAACACTAGCTCTCCCAGTCTGCTCTCACATCCTGTGAAAGTTTAGTCTTTCTGATAAGGTGGCACTTAACCTAAGAGCACAGAGAGCAAAGTGCTGATCAGAGGTGCTGAAGGAGTCTAGTGGTGTGGTAGGCTGAATTCAGCTATAGAGATACCCACTTCTGTGGCACCAATGCCAAAGCTACCAAACAGAGTAGCAACACTTGTGACATTTTTCACCAGAGAGAACGTGTTGCCATTTCCTAAGGGTATAAATTCCCCAAGCAGAGTGAGCAGGTGGGGGGGGGCAGGAGCCTAGCCTTCACGAGCTGGTGGAAGCTGTTGAGGAGCAAGGGGCAGCTCAGGAAAGTCAGGGTGAAAGATAGGGAGAGTCTGGGAGAGCCAGAGCCTGGGAGACCCTGGGCGGGGAGGGGATGGGTAAACTGAAGGGTGCAAAATTGTTTTTTGTGGGGTCTTTCAAGATCTGGAGCAACCTCCTCCATTCTGCTCCTGCTCCTCATTATCTTCTTCTCTTTCTTCTTTCAGCCCATGCCTTCCTATTCTGCATCACTGGCCATCCTCTGACCCTGCCCTGCATGTCCCTGATCTTGTGCCCATCTTTCCAGTCCCAGTCTCTGTCCCCAACTTACACTCCCATTCTCCATCACACCTTTTGAGCCTCCTCATCTCCCTTGCTGGTAGGCCACTGGAGCAGCCTCCTCTTAATTGTTCCGTGTGGACTACCCTCAGGTGGAAGAGAGAGAGAGCAGAAGAGGAGAGGCAGGTTGGCTGCCCCCAATTCTTCTGCCTAACAACCAGCAGGAGCCAGGAAGGTAAACTGTGGGGGAATCCTTGCAACTCTGTTGAATGCAAGTCATATGACAGTTGGCAACTCTAAGTCTCTCCCTTCCTCTCTTTGAGAAAGGCTCTCTCCAGAATTGGGAACCCTGTGAGTCCTATTGGGAGGATAGGGCATGCCCACTGTTATGTTCTGATGCATCCCAGAACAGCAATCTCAAATCATAAGGAAATCAAAGCATAACATGCAAGTAGGTGGTCAATCAAAACATGTAATTACCACAAACCTGTTAAGTCAGCAACAGTCTGAACAAAAATCACAACAGTCCAAATGGCAGGTATGTAACAGCAGGCCCTGGATAACTGCACACACCCAGTGCTATGTGTATATACACAGAGGCACGCAAACTACAACACTGAATTTAGGAAGCAGGAAACCAACATGAAGAGGGAGCAGGAAGCAATAAGCAGGAAGGCAACACACAAGTCATCACAACTCCATTGAGTGTGGGTTGATGGGAAGCTGGGCCAGGGGAAGGGGGAACTTCACTAATACATCATTTTCTAACCAGCTCCCTAGAGACTCCCTAGAGAAGATAATATAGTCCAGTGGTTCTCAAACTTATTTGATCGCGGCCCCGTTCTTTGTGTCTGTAGTAGTTTACGCCTCCTCCCCTCCCCACTCTGGATACCCGGTCAGCAGCTGCTGCTTTTCTGTCAGCCAGCTCTGAAGGCAGAGTGGAGAATGGTGGCTGCTGGTCGGATGCCCAGCTCTGAAGGCAGCGCCATCACCAGCAGCAGTGCAGAAGTAAGGGTGGCAATACTTTACCACCTTTACTTTGTCCACTGCTGCTGGCGGTGGCGCTGTCTTCAGAGCTGGGCACCTGATCAGCAGCCGTTACTCTATGGTCATCCAGCTGTGAATGTGCGCAGTACTTTTTTTCCCCCTAAAGCTTCTCACCCCTCCCCCACACACAGAATACATTCCAAACCCCGGGCACTCCAGTTTGAGAAGCTCTGATATGGTCCCAACCTTTAAGCCAATGGAGCTGCAGTGTGAGGGAGCATAAGAGTGCGGGGAAATGTGCATGAGGAGCCTGACCGATTTCTAATCCCTAGGAATCCAGGGGCTTTGTCGACTGGGTCTGAATGCTATCTGGGGAAGGGGAGATGATGTGCGGGGAACTCTGTGAGGTACTCTTTGCAGTTTTCCTCTCTTCTAACCCCTGCCATTTGGCTAACTCTTTTCCTTTGCATGTGGAAAACTGTTGCTGCATGTGGTAAGCTCCCTTCACTACTGTAACCATGAATATAAAGAAGGCAGAATTTATTTTCTGTAAATTGTCATATATTGTACTGCACATTTGTGTTGTACTGTACTGTCCTGAACAGCAAATGAAATGAAGCATTAAAAATAGCTCATTTCTGTGAAATCCATATAGACAAAGTGTGATTAAAATCCTCCATAGGACTTATGTTTAGCACATGGTAGAATCCAAAAATTGCTGCCAAATGTACTTCTGAGTTATTTGCAGCTCTGTGTTTTGGTTAGCAGAAATTGTCAGCTGCATTATTCAGCAAATGCATTGTGTTATACCTGTATTTATTTGTGACCATTTTCACTTTTACTAAACATAGCTTTAAAGAGTCAGGAAAGTCCAGAAGAAGCACTCAAAGTTTGTGCCAGTGGGTGTGCTACTGATATCACAGGACCCAGTGAGCAATCCCTACTTTGCAGGTAAATATTAAACTCTAAAATTAATCCACAGAATTGTAATGGTACTTGCCTCTTCCTTGACACAGGAACGCAGAATTTGGTTTTGGTTTGTTTATGTTTGAGTTCACTAGTACAGTACATAAAAATGTACAGTTCACCAGCTTTGACCTTCCCTGGAATTTATAGGTATTGGGATGCCACGGACCACAGTTTAGAAAGTGACAAGTCCACTTTTATCCCATGGGCTACACTACTACAGCCTAGTGCAAGCAAAAAACTGAGTTCAATGGCTAATACATACTACTGGAGAATAAAAGTAAATATAACAGGGAGGCTCAATCTTCCAGTGCAAGTATTTGTTTGAGACAAAAGATAAGTGTGTGTTTTTATGTAACTAGAGTGAGAGAACATGGAAAGAAAGCTGCTTTTCAAGAGAGGTGGCCTGTGGGAGAATCCCAGAACATCCAGTGCCAAGAACATCCAGTTCTCTTGATGAAACCAGCAGTAGAACTGACTTACACAACAGTTACGTTAAGTGATAATGAACAGTATTGTACCATAGAGCTCCGGCTTTCTGATAGTATTATATATATAGAAATACATGTATTCAACATGGGAAGGAAATCAGCAGATCAGAGCAATACCTTACAGTGTGTTTATTATAAAAGTGGTTATGAAAATAGTACCTTACCGCCTTATTTGATTTGCTACTACTGTGACTTCTGAGTCACGCATGACTATTTTACTGACAGCAGTGAAGAACCTATACAGATGAGGCAGAACAAACTGTGTTTTGTCTTCCTCATTAATACATCAGCAAAACTACTTGTTATGTTCTGACTCTTCATACTTTATTGTTGGTGATGATTTATAATAACATCCCAAGCATGAAGAGCACAGTTTGATTTTCAGACACAAAGCTGAGCTGGAAGTTAGAAAATTCATGTGGTTTGGCTTGATGTGATTTTAGGTAGAAGACAAAATCGAAACAGATATTTTACCCAAATATCTTCAAATAGGGAAAGAATTGAAAGAGAGAAAATGAGAGATAACTAGAGACCATAACAGTATAAAAGAGCAAAACAA